CTAGAATAAACACAAATTATAACACAAAAATAAATGTTTAGACTAAATAGCTTAAATATCATAATATTATACATTTATTATTTTTATTATATTGATCTTTCTGCTGTACCTGGCTAACAATACAAAAGTTACAACGATGCAGCTCATGTGCACTCATGTTGCCATATCAGATAACATAAAGGTGACCTTTGGTCTATACAAAGTAACTTGTCTTGGCTGTGTTTTAGTAGACTAGTATTTTGTAAAATACAGTCACATTTCAATTATTATACATTATATATGCATATGGGTTATTGTTATTTTGAAATATCTTCTTGAAGTTATTTTTCTTAAAACATAGAAAAGTAAATAAAGAAGTAATGCAAACAATTCTCTCTTCTAGTTACAACCTTTGTACCCGGTTGCTAAGCCTTTAAAACATTTGCACGTGGAGGACACGAAACAAAATATTTTTAGGTTTTATATATATACTTTTGAATAACTAAGAAGTCATAAATCACCACATTAATACCATAAAATTCCACTATAATTTATCAAGCTTAGTAACTAAAATCTATTTCAGTCTAAAAACATATGAAATTTTGAGCAGACTAAAGACACATCCTACCTAATTGAAATATTGGTTCAAAAGAAAGAAATGGCACCAAGCCTTTAAATGGCTGAGAATGTCATTAGGGAGGCATTTTGAGCTTTTGATTGTTTATTCATGTCATATATAGAAGTAAGTGGAAATATGGGAGCAATTCCAAAAATGGAAAGAGGTGGATGGGGTGCTACTGTGTTTGATTTATTAAATGAGCAATATCTTAGCAAATTGAAAAAGATAAGAGGCTCTTATTTTATACTCTAGCTTGTCAATATCAGTAATTTGAGTTTCTAATTTGTACGAAACTATAGATTTAGTATTTTGACTTCAAAAACATCTAATTTGAACCAGTGCTGCGTTCAACATATTATGTGACACAAAAATTGATTTTTGTCTGTTTTTTAATATTTGCTTTTAAATTAAGAAATTGAGTAACGTATAGTACTAAAATTTGAATTATAATCTCCTGTTTGATACCAAAGTTATTGACATAAATTAATGAAATAGTATTTTGAATGCGAGTCAACAAATGAGATGACATAGCCTTTCACCCGTGACCCATCTCGAGAGGGTTAATGAAAACAACCAAAATGACGCAAATGAAAAAAAATCTCAAGTATTATGACTGAAAATCATCTGATACAAAGAACAAAAAATTAGTATCCTGAACAGACATCCACTGTACTTTAGTAGATGTACAATGAAGTATAAATCATTGCAATGCAGAATCTTTGAAGAAAAGATATTTGCTACAAAAAATGTGATATAACTAGAAGTAAAAACTTACAACAATCAGATATAACCATTTTTAAATCTTCACATTACATATTAATGCAAAAAATGCTATAATAAAAGTAACATTGTTTAAAACATTATTAGATTTAAAAGCAGAGGGTTCATTAGACTGGAGGCACAAGGAATTCAATACAAAGATTAAAGTACTAACTAATGAGCAGTGACAAATGTAACAATAATGCCCAAGACGTCACTTATTACTACTGTATGAAAAAATTAAATTTATTTGTTCAATAATACCCACACAAGTGATCTGAGTTTTAAGCAACATGTGCATACTATCCAGAGGAAAGGTGAACTTAAGAACCAAATATTTCTAGTGGTAAATAACATGATTGTTCACAGACTGAATTTATAGAAAATTTTTCTTGATCCACCAGACAACACTTGGATCATCAAGGATTTTCTCAATGTCTTCTTGAAGGACACTGTCAGAGGATTTGTAGAGTTCTTCTTGCCCTGGCAGTGTCTCAAAATTTCTGATAGAGAAAGAATTGACACTAATGATACAGGCTGGTAGAACATGGTCCCCTGTCTTCACAAGTACAAAGGATCCTGTGGTGAAGCTATGATGTTTGCAGTGTTTTCTTCAAAACACTCTCACTCCTCTTCCATCTCTGGACTGTTGTCTTCCATATATTGGTTTCCAGAAGAAGGCCCTGCTAAGAATTTGTAGATGTTGGTGTCAGAATTCTTTTCTTGATGCTTCTCTTGGCTTTGGAGTAATGTCACAGAACTTACACCTGAATGGTATGAAAAGTTTTGAGGTGGTGTGTTTTTTCAAGCAACTCTCCCACCTCATTTAAGGAGACATCTGCATTTATAGATGCATCATTAGTGTTGTCAGGTAGTGCAATGCCCAGTTGTTTTCTTTTCAAGGACAAATTTAGCTCATCGCTGATGGAAAGAGCAACCTCCTCCTTGTGTAGCCATTGTTGATACAGTCCAGTGCACTTCGCCTTGAACATCTTCACAGGCAGACGAACTTTAAGAACCCCTCCCCCTTACATCTATGAACCAGTCAAATGCTGCTTGTCTTCAGCTTTATGCCACCACCTCATTCTTTAAACCTGTTTGTCCTTTTGGCTACATTGTCATATTTTTGATCCTTCTAGGACTTTCTTTTTAGATTGTCATAACACTTTGCCATTTGTACAGCTCTACTAAACCTTTCAGAGGAACAAGAGAGTAGAAAATATTTGTGATGAAACATCTACAAAAACAGAATGCCAAAAGATCAATGTTTTAAGCAGAACAGTTACACCTCTTCCTTCATCAAGAACTCCCTGAAGACCATAACAGAAAAAAAGAGATGGTAAGAACACCAATATCAACATTTACCTCCCCTACATACTAAATATCAGTGAAAAACTCGTATGCATAGCTAAAAAGTTCAAAATACAGAGATGAAAGTGTCCCTTTCCTAAAAATCCTGAAAATA